TTAACCACCACTGTGTAGAGAATCCAGGTAAGTCATTTGCTTCTGTTTCTAAACCATAAGTAGGGATTTGAGTGTCTATTTCAGCAAGCTCTTAAAGGGCTTAAACTGGATTCAGGAAATGAAAGTACTTTGCAAGCACTTGTTATTAATAGTCCATATATATAACACAATCAATGTGAGTATGCAATGTACATGTAAAGAAAAAAAAAACTCAGAAATCATTGCATATTTACAGACATAAGGAAATGGAAGCTTCCACTTTTGAGTGGTTTGAGTAAAGTCATCATAGAGCAAACAGCCAGAGTTCTCAAATTGGAGTAAGGTGAATTCTACTGTATAGTTTGTGCCTTGACCAGGACATTGGTGGCTCCCATGTGTAACATTCTTTATGAAAATAATCTCCATTACCCTCGTTTACTTTATCTTCATCTTCATGGGCTGCTTTTTTTTTTGGCCAGGAACCATAACTCTCCTATATTACTCAGTAAGCAGCCCAGCCAGGGATGTTGAACCCAAAGCTGTCTGGCTCCAGAGCCTGAGCTCTTAACTGCGGTGGTACTTAGTTAACCACACACATGCTAAATCTCCCAGGTGAAAAGGCTGAGGAGGGAGGGGAACCCTAACAGAGTGAAATCTGCTGCTATTTGTTAATTATATGCCTGGAAAGCTAGAGTCAGTGATCTTCTTGCCTTAAAGTTACACATTTTGAGACACATGGAAAATGACAAGTATTGAGAGTTTATCAAATTCTTTAAAACATTTAAAGAGATTCTTCTCTCTTTTTTTTTTTAATTTTTTAAAGATTTTATTTATTTATTCATACAGAACTGGGGTACAGGCCAGAGATGTGGAGGGTGAGAGGATTCACCAGAGACAGAGTGGGGAGCAGAACAAGCAGATCGACAAGTACACTGCTGAGGGGAGCAGTGGGCGGGTCAGAAGAGGTCTGCCACGCCATGTGGCTCTCCTCGGGGCAGACTGGAATTGAACTCATGCGGAAGTGGCTTAAGCTTCTTAGTGCAGTACTTTAACCTGCTGTGCCACCAGGGAGGGCCCGAGATTCTTCTCTTTTTAAAGGATTTTTTTTCAATAGCACTTATGATTGTATAAAATCATACTTAAATATTAAAAAGATTGTCATTGTTCCAGGAAGTTTGGAAAATATTCAGATATACCCCAATTCTATTTTCCAACAATTTTTGCATTTCCCACTTTAATCAATTTACATCTTTCTCTGTTTGAATAAGCATAGACACATTTAAAATGTAAACCATTTTCTCTTTTAATATTTTTCAGCAGAGACCTGAAACCTAGGTTATCTTTCAAAGAGACAGATCTTTTAAAAGGATCAGTATTCTACCTTATAATTTTAAAACTACTCCCACCAGGTAACCATGCAGAGAATGTGTCCTCTCCCTCATAGGTTAAAATCACCTTCCATATGTGCCATTTTAAACAGACTATTGGCCCTTTTCATTGAAAAAGGCCTTCCCTACCTCAGTGTTTCAGATTCAGAATTCTCCAGAGGGAAGAATCCTAAAGATTCCTCACTCCTTTGCTCATTCCACAAATATTTGCTTAAAGCCTCTGGTGTTCTGGGCTATCTTTTCAGAGTACAAAGAATAAGACATGATCCATTCAGTTCAGCCCCACACCCCTGCTTTGGTTATTGTGTAAATGAATAACTGAAAGAAAGTGTCATAGGACCTGTTTAGAACTAATGGAATCTACTGGGGACTCAAGAAAGGGGAGGGCAAATTCTTATTGTGCTATCAAGAATATCTTCCAGAAGAGATAATTTCTAAGCAACTGCACTAGGTAGTGGGGATATGTAGAAAGACTTACCAAGAGAAACTGAGCAGAATTTGGACAATTTTATAATAGTTTACATTACTAGAAGAATAGTTTTCTACCATTATGTAAACACATTTATAGCAAATGTGATTACTATTTTGCTAATGAGCTATGCTACCAGCAGATTACAGAGGGGATAGTTTAGTACCAAACAAGAATACCAAGTATAGCCTGATTCTGGTATAATAGTCAAAAACTATTATACTAATGTAGGCTAGGTAATGCTGGGTAACAAAGCACTCCACTATTGTACTTAATCCAACATCAGTTTATTTTTTGCATATAGAATCAAGCATTTTAGGTCATGGGGCTCCCCCAGGGCATCTGGGGTCAGGGTGATAGTTTATCATTCCAGGATCTCCATCCTGTGCCATTTCCATCTTAATTCACACTTCCATGATTGCAGTGGCATGGAGAGAAGGCAGCATAGGAGTCAAGTACTGTCTCTTGAATGATTCCACCAGATGAAAAAACATTTATTTCTATGCTTTTACCTAATTTTTTACCAGGGCAGGTTACATCACCTATTTTTTTTTTAAAGATTTATTTACTTATGCATATAGAACTGGGGTAGCAGTGGGGAGCAGAACAGGCCCAATGACTAATGAGAAAGTATACCGCTGAGGGAAGCAATGAGCAGGCCAGGAGAGGTCTGCTTCACCATGTGGCTGGATCCAACTCATGCTCAAGTGGCTTTAGCTTTTCAGTGCTGTGCTTTAACCCATGTGCCACCAGGGAGGGCCCACATTACCTAATTTCAATGGGGTGGAGAATGTAATCCTCCCCTATGCCTCAAACCAGGAGGACAAAAAATAATTGTGAGTGTGAATGCCTTCAGTAGTTAAATGTTATATAAAAATATTTTATGTTTCAGATTAGCCTATGGAATCAATATTACTATGTCATATATTAAGGTTGAAACTAATTAAAATTTCATCTTCATCTTGTGATTGGAAGTTATGAAATTTAGTATCATTTTACTCAATGTTGTATCATTATGCAATCAATTGTAAATACTAGTCACTGCGGAGCAAAACTGAGTCATGATATAGTCTGGGTAAATACTGAAATCCAGACACATTTAAGCAAATTGATTTGTTAATATTAAGTGAAATATTAAAAAAATTGCTATATGGTTTCAGTATTATAGTAAAAATAAGCTACCTTTTCCTTTTTCATACGTAAAGATACACTAAAAGGAATACATTATGCACAGAAAGGAATAGATGTTAATGACTTCATAAAAGAGAGAAGTGATATATAACTTTGATATTTAGCAATATCCTTGGATGCTGCGATGCATAATTAAAGGTGCATATATACTCAAGTGTTGGTTCTAAATGTCAATTTTACTTTTACCACCTTCCAAATGTTATCAATAAGGTGAAGTACTAACAGGTTTGTGCCAATTAGCACAGAAGAGGCCTCCTTAAGAATGTCTTTACATCTAACTTCTCTAAAATAGTTTGCTGAAAGATTTTTTTTAAGTGTAGTTTAAAGTTAACTTAATTTCATGTCATCTTTCTAAAAGCAAGCTTTTGGGCCATTAAAACTGGCATGCATTTTATGATTGGCGCTTATGCCAATATAGGCAAGGTATGCAAAATACTCATTTATCAGGTATAGGTAAGAATATGTAAGGAGCTTGAAGGTGGGAACTAAACTGAAAACAAACACATAGCTGTGCCTATGATTCCTTTATTCCCGTAAAATTTCCAAGCGGCGAATCAAATCTATCATTCTATTCTGAGCTTAAGATACCAAATATGATACTGGCCAGTCCTCATGCCACAGGTGTTACAGGTTTTATTCCACCCCACCCCCACCCCTCCAATTCTTCTAAAGCCAGGGCGAGCATAAACCTGCCACCGATTAGAAAGCTCACAGCGTCACAGGTGCTCTTTGAACAGCTACTTTGGATCAGGTGGAAAAGAAAAGAACAACACTGGACGGCGAAGGTCAGACCGCGAGGGCAAGCCGCAGGCCCCGTTCTGCAAGGTTCTCTCCCCACTTCCGTGACTGCCCCGGTCCTCCCCTCCGGCCCCCGCCGGGCTGGTACCCTCCCTTCCTCCCCACCTGTTGGGCTGGGCGTGCGGGGCTCCCAGAAGGGACACCCTAGCGGTGAGAACCGGAGGGAACACCACCTGCGAGCTTCCTTTCGCGCTGGTTTCCGCCGCCAGACCCTAAAGCACTAAAGCCCTAAAGCCCTAGGGGGTAGTAAATTCCAGCTGCGTCCTGGCCCACTCCCGCCCCGTTCTCTCTCTCCGGCTCGCTGCCTCTCTCGCTCGGATGCCGCCGGCCTCGCCGCCACTTCTGGGTGGCAGTCCGGCGCAGGCGGCGGCAGGCTCCCGGGCTCCGGGCAGGGACATGGGGCAGGGTGAGTGAGCCTGCTTGGGAAGAGGCCCGGCGAGCCCCCGGCCGTGGTCCGGCTCGGCTGGGAGGTGCACGGCCCTGCCCGGTCGGGGACAGAGCTGCGCCTCGGAGTGGCTGTCGCTCTCTGCCCGTTCGCGTCCCGGCTTGAGAGCCGAGCCGAGAGTGCGCGGCCGGGGGAGGGAGGAGCAGGACAGGAAGCCGCGGGAAAGAACAGGCGAGCCACTGTCTCCTTTCGGAAAGAAAGTAGGAGCCTTGAACAAGAAAGGAGACTTTGGCCCTCCCAACTTTTCTCGGCGAAAAGTTGGCAGGGTGCGTCTAGTCGGCGCAAACTCGGCGGGAGGAGCCGGTGCGTGCGCGGCTGGCGCGGCAGCGGTGCCCGCGCGCCTTGCCCTTGTCCCGCTCTTCCTCCTTCCAGCCCCGGCAGCTCCGCTCCCTCCCCGAGAGGCGCCAAATGGCTACCCAGTAAACCCCACGGGGCGGGGGCTGCGGCGCCGCCTCCTGCCGCCCGAGCTCCGCGCGGCCGCTAGAACCCGCCGCGGCCGCGACCATACCACCCTGGGGCGGGAAGCCGGGGCCCGCAGGTGGAAACGCACCCGGGAGCGGGCGGGTCCAGGGCTGGGTGGCTCGGGCGGGCTCTTGACGCGCAGACAGCCCAGCTCGGGCCTCTGGAGGCGCAGGTCCCGCCCTGACCCGCCGGCCTCTCCCACTCCAGCAGTGACGCGCCGACTCGGAGCTGTAGCCCGCGCAGCGCCCCGTAGGGCGATGGACTGCAGAGCCCCGCGCGCGCAGGACACCCCGGCGGCACCCATGCCGCCCGCCGCCCCGGCAGGGTAAGCAGCCCGCGCAGCGCCGCGCCGCGCCGCGGTTCACCCGGGATCCCGCGGGCAGCGAGGCCTCAACCCGTTTACCTGGCTGGGGACTCTCTGCCCTGCCCGCGGCCTGACTCATTGGCCACCCCACACGCGGTGGAAGAGGTGGCTTCCTCCCGGCCTCCTCCGAAGCCGTCCGCGTTGGGGATTCTGCTCGTTTTTTATTATTTTCCTACTGGGGTTGTATTTATTTTCCTCAGTGGGTGAATGGCTGGTGAATGCCAAGAACTGGGTGAAAAATTGGGGCTAAAATGTATTAACAAAGAGCTCCTTGTTAGGACATTGGAGCAGCGGCGGACGATACCTGTAAGTGAGCTCCTGGGAAGGGAAAAAAGTTTCCGTGGCCAATGTCTGAGGTCCGGGCAGGTGGGCAAAGTCAAGGTGACTGTGAGGAAGGGGTTCGGGGCTAGCGGGCTAAGAGCGAAAGGAGGGTGTGCCAGCTGTCAGCCCGCATGACAGTTCCGGGAGCGGGCTGGAGCGCCTCTGATTGGGGGTGTGTGTGCCTGTGGCCAATTGCCGGTGCCAAAGCCAAGCGCAAAGCCAGAGTGCAAACAACGATACTTTTATTGTATCCTCACGTGTTTGGGGAGAGAAGGGGGGAAGGGGACTGTCACAAGGATGAGTTAATAGTAAATAAAATATGTCTTCCTGCCAGATACGCTAACAATCATTATGCTAAACATTTGAATAAATAGAACAGGTAATTCTGCAAAGGATGAGGAGAACCTGGAAATAACCTACATGTTAGTAACCAGTGAAGAGTTAATGGGTGCTGGATGAGCTTCTGAAAGTATGTAGTACAGTTTTTCCTCCTTAGTTTCTTTTCTCATCTATAATGTCCTTAAGAGATGAGCGTTCAGAAATTGAAACATTAAGGGAAAACCGACTTTGTAACTAATGAATGAGAGTTGTAGCTTTCTTGATGTAAAGTCATTTTCCCCTGGAACATGATAGGCGTTTCCTTACAAGCAAGTTACAGCATGTTTATTCATCAGAGACCATTTGAACATTGGCAGTTGTCTAGAGGAAATATGGAGAAGTCTCAAAGCAAAATGACTAATCTAAAAGATATTTAGTATAATTCTTAAGAAGAGGAAACATGTAGTGTATGAATTCTTTCATTTTGTTCCAATTAGCTATCTTCTTCCTTCTGCAAACAATCCCATTACTGTTGACTTCCGTTCCTATTCTTTTCCAGTTTCTTCATGGGTTAGATACTGTTGTATATACCATATATTCTCACATTAGGGTGTATGAGTAAAGAAATACTTTGGTAGAAAGAAACAGAACATAATAAAAACAAAGTTCTCTTAATGGAGATGCAAAAGATTTCAGTGTACCACAAAGTAAGATAGAATCCAATTGGTAGATTTGAAAATGAATTAAAGTAAGGTACCATTTTTAAAAATACAAAATATGCTTGCAGGTGATCAGAAATAATACTTTTTAATAAAATACACAGATGCGATTTTTTGATTCTGTGAAGAAAAGGAAAGATTTATACTGTGAAGCGCAACAGTAGTAAGATATTTGACGTTTTAGAAAATTTAAAGGTTAATTTGACGAGTTTGTGCTAAAAAAGAAACTATAAAGCTCTTTCTGTAATTTATCAACTATGAAAAAAAGGAACTTTGCCCTTCCCTTCCCAAATTTAAGGAGAAACATCTGAAAAACTTCTCAACATTCTTGTCTAAAATAACTATTGGAGTTATTCTAACATTTTATTTTACATTATTCTAATCAGAGAAATTACCAATAACTGAAAATTAAAAACCTGTTACCTACTTCGTCATCTTCCACTTGTCAAATTGTATACTTTGTCAATTCCCAACTTATATAATGATTGTTAAATATTAAACATCACTTTTGTTCTTTTGGGGGAGTGGGGGAGGAGACAGAAATATATAAGGTTTTAATTGTGGGGGGAAAAATCCTAGATGTGAGTATGTTGAAGGTGTGAAGGAGCATTCTCTATAAATGTATTAAAATATTAGGGTTGGGAAGTAAATTCTTTACTATAAAACTAAATCAGACGCGGCAGCCTCTCCTGACCGGTTCACTGCTCCCTCAGCAGTGTACTTCGTGGATCTGCCTGTTCTGCTCCCCACTCTGTCTCTGGTAAATTCTGTCACCGGCCCTGCACTTCTGGCATGTACCACAGTTTCGTATGCACAAGTAAAGAAATCTTAAAAAAAAAAAAAATGCTGAAAAACTAAATCAGGATTCACGCCAATAATTTATGAGGCCTAGTTTGGTCCATACCCTTGAACATTATCTTCTAAAGAGTTCCTCTATAATTTCCTAATATTTACATTGCTTTAAGAGATCATTTTAAAGAAATGTAGTGCAACTCCATACATATTTTATGGAGAATCTGAAATCTAGAGACTCGGTGACTTGCTGCAGCTCAGAGCAAATTAAGTGGCAAAACCTGAAGAAAAACCTAGGACTTTAGTTGCTTAATTCATGGCAGTAATTGCTTTAAATCTTTTCCTGACCACACTATGATATAATTTATGTTTTAGTAAGTTACTTAGGCGTAGTTATTAATTCAGTTGAGTGAAGTATTTCAGGTAAAAATTTGTATATTATGGAAATGACTGATTATTTAGGAAAAGTAATTGTTGGCTCTGTGGCCATTTAATTTTTCTTTGAGCATTCTAAATAGCAATTATAATGTTGCGAGGGATAATTTGTTTAAAATGATTTCAGAGATATCATACATTTATCTCACTTTTAGCATCATACAATATTGTGGATACTGTAGTAGGTGGCAATTTTTAAAGTTTCAGTGGAGGCAGCAATAATGCTTAGAAGTTGAAACTTCCTTATGGTTATGATGTAATTTAACCTGTGGCCTCAACAAAAGTTGAGGCTGCTTTAAGGCCAGAGTCCCTGCCCTCAAGGGGTCTAATCTAGTGATCATCTTGAGTGTATTTGATCTATAACTCTGTGCACTATCTTAATCTTTTACCATTTTAGATCATATCCCTTAATAGCCCACAGAAGTATTCATTTTATGTCAGGTGTTCTAGAGCTTAAAGGCTTGCATTTGGCTTTTGGAATGAGACTGAGTTTAGATGTCAGAGCCATTGGCATGCTCAATAGTTTGTTTTCCATTTAGCTTAAAGTTTCAATAAACTATCAAATACATGTTATATACTCATATGTAATGTATGCAATCATATATAATATATATTCACTTCTAAGATATTGATCTGTGTATCATATGTAAGTGTCCACATACACCTGTATTAGTAAATGGCATGTATGTATTTTAACAAAACATTCAGTCATCGACTGGTTTAATTTTCATTGTGACATAGATGAAAATTATAATAAAGTATATCAATTCATACTTATCTCTTTCTGTAAAGTAGAAATACCAGGTGGTTTGTATTTTATTGAAAAGAGCAAAGTAATTGGAGATAACAATTAGAAAATTGGTAGACTTTTTTTGGAAGGTGTCCTCTGTGCTGTTAGTGAAGTTACCCACTAGTGAAATTACCCGAATTTTCTATCTTGGTACTTATTAAAGTAACATGAATCACATAGAAGAAGCAATACATGATTGACTGACATCAAGTTGGGTACTTACCTTGAACTACTAGTGCTTTTTTTTTTTTTTTGACTAGCAGAGACAGATATGCTTTCCTTTTTCTCTTTGATATTTGAATGTCAAAAGTGTACTTGACCTTGTGCTCAAAGACCTTAATATTTTGATCCTAAAACAATTTTCAGGCATAGACTGAAAAAAACCTACCTCTATAGTTTTGTTTTGGAGTTTTGTTGCTTTGGAGTTACTTGAAAATACAGTAAAAATTAAGGGATAATTTAGCAACTGGTCTCTTTGCTTTGTTTTTGGATGCACTGTGGGTTCTAAAGTTTTACTATGAACTGAGTACTTGCTAACATTTTTTGAATACTGAGAAGTAGAATTACTTAGATTAGGTGTAAATATGGCAATCACCTGGAGAAACTTTAAAACTAATACTCTTGATCTTACACTCCTACATATTATAATTTTAATTGACCTTGGCCATAGAGAGTTTTAAAATTCTTGAATATTAATATGCAACCAGAGTTGAAAGCCATTAAATAGCTTTGACATCTGAGAAGTCATAAATGGAATGAAGGCTGGTATTGAACAGTTTTAGGAAACTCAAAATCTTAATGGCTAGCTTTATTTGCCTTTGTAAATAGTCTGTTTATGAGCTTTACAGTATTATTTTTTTTTTTTGCCACTCCATTTTACATTTGTGGATGCTGTAGCTCAGACAGCTTATTTGACATGTGCAAGGTCACTCAATTAAAAGAGATGAAAGAATAATAGAAACAGTCTGAATCCTGAACCAGTGTTCTTCACCTCTAGGCCTGTGACCTCCCAGGATGTGTGCTGACATGGATTATACTGAATGACTAAAGAATACTCAGAGTGACTTTTGTAGCTGTACTGTCATGATTCTTTTAAAAGTCATGTTCATATTATACTTTTAAAAAAACTCCTACAAATTCTAATGCATATAAAAGGTCCAATGCCTAACACTTGAAAGGAACTTAAATACTTGGTTTATGTCTTCAAAAACATTTTCATCATTACAAACTTTCATCTGTTTGTGATGATTTACTTTAACTCCTGGGAAATGACAGTCTTTTGTCATGTAATAATCTATACTTACATTTGTGATGAGAAGGCATTTAAATGGATAGCATAATTTCAGAAATATTTCAGGATATTTTTAACTCCCAAATAAGAAAAACTTCTTAAGACAATGCTAGATTTCTTATTCAAAGTCTTAATTTTCTCTCAATGTGCTACCAGATAATTGAATAACATTATGAACTTATTATTGAAATGGTAGGTGTATTTAAGTAATAATGCCAAGCTTCATGTTGTTATGATGACTTCCACTTAATTAGTCAAAACTGAGTCCTTATTTTACGTAAGCCATGGTTTTTTT